ACGAGGAGGCTCCTGGTGCAAAGGGGGAACTTCAACATGAAGGGAGGAACCTTTTTTTGTGTTTTTGCATGTCCCCCCCACCTTAAAAGCCATTATATTTTAGATGAGGATGCCTTGAGATTTTGCAAACTTTTAAAGGGTGCCATGACTGAAAAAGGGTTGGAAAATGCTACTCTAAACCATCCTTCTTACAACCAACTGATGTTCAAATATGATTGGGGTAGAAGTTGGTCATATGTGCATTGCAGAGGTTTGGTTGGGTTTCAACACAATTGGATTGGTCGCTCAAAAAAGGAGACAGTCGAAAGTGGGCGTCAGATTGCCGCAAACCAACCAGCTGAATCCAGGAAGACACAAAAGACAACATAGTGCAGCTCGGTAGTCGTTAATACATCATTATATGCATTTTATAAATGCAAGCAGTGTAAGTACCATAATTTGACCTTGCATCAGCCTCTGGCTTCTCCTGTACAGCTGAGCTCAGGACAGAGAGAATAGAGCAGCACAAGGAGCAAGTTTGTTGTGCTCCAGTGCTCATGTGCTAAGAAAGGATGTGCTTATAGGAGGAGGGAACAGAGCGATGATAGATGAGCTCATCAGTCTGCTGCTTCTCCTCTCACTGTCCAATCACAGGCTGCAGTGGGGGTGGGAGGACTTTAAATCTCTCAGTGGCTCCACTGGCCAGACCCCCTGCACCTTGTTGCCATCATGAGGAATCTCGCTCTCCTTATTGTATTTCACTTACATTGGATCTCAGTAGGTTTGAGACATCTCTAGCTGTGATTAACTCATAAAGGTTTACCTTAAGGACGATCCGCCCAGTGACAGTACAGTATGGGGCAAGGAAAAGACTAACCAGGACACAGAATAGAGACGATCGCAGAGTGCAGATAAGATCTGAGAATATGATCACCACTTGGTATTGTTTAAAGGGAAACATTTTCAGTGAGCACATTTTAATTTATTGCAGCGTTTAGCTATACTGGATATCCTGGCCAAATAAACATTGTCCTCATACAAGAGTCATGTGTATTCTTCATTGAATCTTGGGGAGCTTTGCGTATTTCTTCCAGATCTGTGCAGTAATCCAGTGTGAGACTTGGACCTTCCTGTAATAAAGACCACTCACTGCTGCTCTCTCTCCTTGTGCAGGGTGACTGGTCTTGTCTCCGCCCCCTCTTGTAATAAAGACCGGTCACTGCTGCTCTCTCCTTGTGCAGGGTGACTGGTCTGGTCTCCGCATCCGCCTGTAATAAAGACCGGTCACTGCTGCTCTCTCTTCTTATTCAGGGTGACTGGTCTTGTCTCCACCACCTCCTGTAATAAAGACAGCTCACTGCTGCTCTTCTCCTTGTGCAGGGTGACTGGTCTGGTTTCCGCCCCCTCCTGTAATAAAGACCTGTCACTGCTGCTCTCTCTCATTGTGCAGGGTGACTGGTCTCGTCTCCGCCTCCACCTGTAGTTTTCTGCAGGCAGCCTGTTGTGGGTGGGGCCTACTGGGTCCCTCCCACAGCTCTTCTCTGGGCACAGGCTATGTACAGCACAGTGATGATGTCAAAGCTACTACTATAAGATAATATTTGGGTTTACAAAGGCATTTTTGTGATTTGTGGCTATAGAGGAATATACCGGGTTCCTGACCCATAACAAGTATAGAGATAGGAAATTCTGACAACCAATCATGTACACCATTGCATGCTCTGGGTCTGAGATTCAAACATCCTGAGACCAGACAACATGCATTTTTCCAGGAGTTTGGCAGCAATGGCAGCTTCACTACTTCTCTCATAGCAGGTGTATTGTAGGGGTAAAGCCCATAATAATTCAAAATATACACACACTTATCTTTGCCTTTGAAGGTCAACTCCAGAGATTTTTTGACATGCAACCAACCTGAGACCGAAACCTTAACTTAGTATCAGTCTCTTTCTGTCCATGTACAGCAGAACTCAAAGGCAAACAGATGTGCTATATGCAAATGCGTTGACAAGGAACATGCTGATAGGAGGAGAGAGAGTGAGCAGGGAGATGACCTCATTGGTCTTCTGCTGATCTTTTACTGTCTAGACAGCAGATAGGAGTTGGGAGAGGACACCACTGTATTTCTACCTATAGGTGGGGGTCACCTGCCTTGTTATGTTGTCCGATGAGGTTGTGCAAATTGCAGGACTGTATGAACAGAAGCACAAAACCTTTGATAGGTAAAACAGCTACGTTACATATATTTCATTATTTCTTTAAGTGCCAGTTCATGCCAATTGCGATACCCTCCAGAGCGGTAGCTGCTGGAACGCACAGCAATCGCACACTAAACTCCCCCCTTCGTTCTGGAGCGGGAGGGGATGTGGCGGTGGAACCGTAGCCACGCCCACCAACCGTAGTGCGGTCAGCCATGTGGCAAAACATTGCCTGCATTCCGGCTCACTGCGAATGCAAAAAAAATGCTGCATGCTCTATTTTTTTTTGCGTCTGCAGTGGACCGGAACGCAGGCGGGGGACGTGGCTGCAGTGCCATTGACTTAAATGCACAGCCACTCGCCCTTCCTCCCCAGAACAAAGAGGGGAGGAGTTGTGTGTGTGATTGCTGTGCGTTCCAGCAGCTACCACTCTGGAGCGCACCGCAATTGGTGTGAACAAGCCCTCAAATGTTTGCCTGAAGCTCACCACCAATAGAGGACACAGACTGTATAAGCTTTTCCCAAGCCGAGTGATTTTCCCTGGGTTGGCTTTACAATGAGATCCACAACTAGATTTTGCCGTTGCGGTACAGAAACATTGTGATCGTTACATTTATATACTTTAATTGTCATTTTAAATAATATTATGTTAAATGAATCTAGGTGCCGAATACTCAGCAGGAAAGCCACACATTACGCACAGCAACTTATACTTACAGAAAGTCGAAGAAACACAACATAAAACACAAGAAAAAAGTTCAACACCCAGCAGGACAGAAGGGTCACAGCCGGACTGTCCTCCGGAATACAAGGATACAATAAGGACTCTACATGTAAACAGTTACTGAAAGATGAAAACCACTTCAATGTGCGTGAAGCACTCGGCATGGCATGGAATGTAACTATAAAGACGCAGGATTCTCTGTGATGAGCTTTAAATATTTGGAAGCAAGTTACTCTGAAAGGACCAAAGGTCAGACTGACCAACAATGGGTGGAAGATGACTTGTCAGATCTCTGCATTGAGTTCCCATTGACGTCAACATGTGGTGCCACTATATGTTTTCAGTGGACCCTCACTAAGGTTTATGTCACAATTACACACTGTAGTAGACATCAGCGGCTACAATCTCTCTTCCTGTTTCCATTTTGTAGCTAAACAGTTGGGGCTAAACGTCATATTTGGACACAGCTCCGTGCTATGGCTGCATACAGAAACAGCGGCCCTGGATGCAAACTGCCTGTGTCCAGGGACGGTCAGAATCCCTAATCTTATGTAACTGTCACATGGGAACAGCGGTGGTGCCTATCATTGATGTGTACAGGTTACAAATCTGGCAGCACTGTGTGTGCATGGAGTCATTTTCTCCACCGGCAATGCGAATGGGCCCGTACCGCTGTAGCTGACTACAATGCTTATTTAGGTAGCTGCAAATCACTGTACTCACGTGGTCATCATTACCCTCATTGGATATCATGATTAGCTTCTGAAGACGACTCTTTTGTTGCCAAATCCAAACACTCAAAAAGTGCATCGCTTTTTTTTTTTTTACTAGCAACTAAAATGCTAAGGACGGTAACAGTGTAAATGGATAACTCAGTACTGGGCAGGAAGCTTGCCTTTGTAACTCCGGGGCTCCTTCTCTTAGATCTCTCTGTTGGAGTTTGCGCCTGCTTTCTTCCTGAAATCATCAGTTCCTAATTGTAGCCCCAACTGTAGTCCTAATGAGGAAGTCCTTCTCCTCTTCTAAAGCAGGGGTATTCAAACATCGGCCCTCCAGCTGTTGTGGAACTACAACTCCCATACGGCATTGCAAGTCTGACTGCCACAGGCATTATGGGATTTGTAGCTTCAGCACAGCTAAGGGGAGGGGGGGGGGAGGCGAGATTTTTCTACCTCTAATGTGTGAAAAGGGAATCCAGTGGAAAGGGCCTGAGAGGACTTTTGTTCACAAGCTGAATGTGAATCATGGCAGTCCGATAATTTACAAGCACTGTAACAGACAGGTATCCGCCCTTTGCTAAATGATTCGATTTAGATGCTGTTGGCTTTTAAAGTGGAACTACATGTGTCTGGCTGCTCAGTGTGTTCAAATCTCAAGAGTGGCTGTACAGAATCACAAATCCTTTGGTAACCAAAACAGTAAACATTATGGGATCGGTTTATCAATGTTTTCACCCAAGATTCACACATACTTCAGGTAAGATTCCATTAGAAAAATGTGTGAATATTGGATGAAAACACTGCAGAAAACTTATTGTGAACCTTATGTTAAAAAAATTCTATATATATATTCAACTATGTATTTAGCAGTTTTCCCAGAATTCCAGTTGACATAATAAAGATGGATATTTTGTGCAGGCAGCAATATTGGTAAAGAAGTATCTAATCAGTTCCCATCTAGTGACATGGCATTCCAGTAAACGGACACTTGGTTCACCCACATAGTGGCATAGTGGTTTCCCTGCACAATGTCTACCTCCTTTCAATACAGGGGATCAGAACTCAAACAAACTTTAAAGGAGAACTATGGGGTTAAGGCTTTTCCCCATAGCTCTCCTTAGGGTAACGGGAGGACACAAACTAGCGTCCTCCCGTCACCCTAGGCTCAGTATACCGTGAGCTGTAGCTCGGGGTATACTGAGACGCCGCAGTCTCATTGTCACAGGTCGGCTAGAACTATAAGGTGAGTGAAAAGCACTCCCCTCATAGTTCTCCTTTAAAGAAAATAAAAAGAAATGGCAGCCAACAAAAACTGTTGTCTGCACGGAGGCCAGTAAGAAGCCTTTAACACCAATAAGGAAAGAAAATCGGATTCACCTCGGAACATGGAATTATGTACAGGAGAGGGTTTCCTCTCTGTGGCTTTAGTGCTGACACAAGCAGCGTTTACCGGGGATAATCATGCAGCACCAACACAGCAACGTTTTACCCCGGGACTGATATGACGACATCGATGTGTTCATGCTATGGAGATACTGGAGGGGGCAGTAGGTGAGCAGGGGGTGGATGAGGAGCCTACACCATGAATCTATGCTCCTTTCCATCATGAGCCATTAAGATGACGTTGCGATTGGAAGTCCAGATGAGTCTGGCCAGTTTCAGGGCATTGAGGGAGCCGGGGGAGGCTGGCTGGACGGGTGGGACCTGGTATGTTTTAATGCACCGCAGCTGAGGCGCTGAGTTCAGCATTCCGATACTTCCCAGTAAGGATGTGTTCATCTAAAGAAAAGAGACAAGGAGGTTATTTACTGCAGAATGGAACAAAACAAAAACAGACAAAACCACAGAACTCCAGATTCTGAAACTAGAATGTGTCTCTCCCCCCCAACAAAAAAAAACACCATGTATCTGTACCAAGCCTCAAATAATGATGAATGCTAAAGCGGGAGTAGGATTCCAGGCAAACAACACAATCTTATTAATGAATGCCTCCTGAATATAATATTTGGGTGATTGTATCTGGCCTCAGTACTTTGAGTGGCTGACCTGGAACAAGCAAGCAGTCAGTAAAGTCATAAGGAGGGGTTTAACTGCTTATCTGCATGTTTGTTGTAGGTTAGTGATTTAGAAAACACGGACGCCTTTGGGTCAATATAACAACCAGACAAGACTCTCTGCTCTCCGATCCAGTGCTGCTCCTCTTCTGGTTTTAATGATGCTCAGCATCATCCAACCCACTTTATGCGCGTTCAGGTTGCAATGAACACAACTTTTGGTGGCAAACTCATGGCACCAGCCTGGACTGGCAGTACTCCTGCACAACGTGGCACTCCATTACATGAGTGCTCTGCTCTCCAGGAGTAAGCAATGCCCACCAATGCCGCTGGAGAAGAAGAGGACGGATCCATGAAGTCACCAGAGGAGTAAAGAATGCCTACCAACGCCGCTGGAGATGGAGAGGACGGATCCATGAAGTCACCAGAGGAGTAAAGAATGCCTACCAACGCCGCTGGAGAAGGAGAGGACGGATCCATGAAGTCACCAGAGGAGTAAGGAATGCCTACCAACGCCGCTGGAGAAGGAGAGGACGGATCCATGAAGTCACCAGAGGCGTAAGGAATGCCTACCAACGCCGCTGGAGAAGGAGAGGACGGATCCATGAAGTCACCAGAGGAGTAAGGAATGCCTACCAACGCCGCTGGAGAAGAGGACGACGGATCCATGAAGTCACCAGAGGAGTAAAGAATGCCTACCAACGCCGCTGGAGAAGAGGACAGATCCATGAAGTCACCGAACCCGCCAGAAGACTGTAGAATTCAAGTTCTGTATAATGTGTTTGCCTTTGAATAAGCTTGTTTGAAGGGGGCAGTGAAACTGGTGGCCATTTTGCTTTCTGATACGTATTCTCCCTTTTTAAGCTCACACAATAATCTATACTACTAAAATCAGCTCACTCCCTGTCAGCCGCTTAATGTCCTTGTAAAATATCTTCATCAGCTTTGAGATTTCAGGATGTGGGTTTAACCCCACAGCGTCCTCTGTGTATTCTGTACAGTCAGAGTGAAAAATGGCAAGGCACAAGAATGTTTAAGGTACGATATTGCCAGCTGCCGTCCAGAATTCTGACCAGGGCGGAACACGAGTCATTAGTTAGCTGTGTCCCCGCTCTGCAGCGCTGCCGTGTCACCGGGTGTAAATCATTGCATCTCTAGCAGGGAAGCACACAAGCACCGCTGACATTTTCACAATTTAAATCATCTTGAGTAATAGCCCTTTTAAGATGACTAATGCTACTGATTTTCTTACATTAGTAATAGCTGTGAACAGGACCTGGACAGGGAAACACGGGCCGAACAAGAGGGCAGGCTTGGGAACAAAATGAAGAGGTCATTAACGCGTGCTTCCCCTGCTGAGGTCTGCTGCTATTTCAGCGTCCCTCAACTTCCTGTTGACTATCAGGCATGCATCTGATCCTACATCAGTACTCTGTAAAGAAATTCAATCAGTTAACTATTTTGCTTTTAAAGAAGCACAGCAACTGTGTTAAAGTATGAAAAGCCAACCAAAGTGATTTCACAAAATCCACAGCAGACGGACTGAGCAGGCTTTTTACAGTGCTTCTTGGTGTTCCAGTAATCTCATGACACATGCAAACTCCTGCTTTAAGAACTACAGTGGACTGTGCTTAGAATCAGGAACACAGTGCTCTGGACCATTCTATGCTTGAAATCAATATTGGTCAAATCTCTGGAAGATACACTACACTATTAAAGCCTAGTTCCAGCTTACAAAAACACCCCCTCCCCTAAGTCCCCCTTCTTAGTGACCTGAGCTCTGTTCTCTGCAGGATTCTCCTGTGAGCCCAGAGTGGCTTGATGATGCATCCTCAGATAGGATTTGACAGCGTGGGTTCAAAGTCAGGGGTTATTCAACCTAGACGACGGCCTGCACTGGACCTTGGCACACTTTTTTTTTAAGGGGACAGATTTAGAGGTAAATTAAGCATGTTAGGGAGAGCTGCTTTGTTTTAGAAAATGCTGGGCAGTAAAGCTAGAATTGACCCTTTTGCTGACACCCACATAAGGTATGTGGCCACAGAAGCACTTCCAGCTGGCCAGCTCATTATGCCGTACGTAGGCTGTATTCCCTGTTCTAGTACATGCTCATGGACACTTCAGGAACTCTAAACTTATAATAGACATTTTTCCTAGACTCTGCTGAGTAAAAGAAGAGCTGGGATCAGTGGTTGATGATCTACCGATCGCAGCCAATTCTAAATAATCTGGCCACCTAAGGGGGGGTTGCAAGGTCTGGCAGCGAAAAGGTGAAGTCTGCCAGTGAAGTGAATACAGAGGTTCACAATGCTTCCTAAATACCCCTAAAACCTCTTCTGATGAGAGAGGAGTGGATGTGGTGATTTTGCATTGTGGATGTATAAAACAGGTTTCTTTCAGCACAGGTGAAATAGCAGAATGTGTGAAAAGGAGACCAGAGCCCCATCTGCTGGCTAAAGAGAAGACTGCAGAATATTAACACGCAACATTATGAATGTTCCTGAATTTACAAAAAATATATATAAAATACATTTCTTTTTAACCCTGTTCATAGTAAGGAAAGGAAGAAAATGGGTACAAATTCACTCTAAATACCACCTGTCAAGTGTGATATGTTGAAATTGCTCTTTATGTGCGCACCAAACAGTATTACTTTTGTTCTGAGTGATACAGCAACATACAATACTAGAGTCACAGGTGCCAACTGCACACAGCAAGTATGTGTAACTCCAATCATAAAATATCACATGATCTTTAACATGTAAAGCAATTAAAAGACTTTTCAATTCCATTTGAAATTATACCTGGTGATCCTGCCCGATTCTTATTCAGGCACTTCCTGTTAGAGGGTGACAACGCTGTGTCTCCTAATTGTGCTTGTGTGTTACATCACATTCTCTTCCTATGGAGTGTAGCCCCCGATCACCTTCTGTGATGTGGCTACTAGACATTTAGTGATAGCCGGGGCTCTAGTCAGCCTTGCTTGAATATAGTGGCATTTACCTGGTTAATTCCAGGTGTCTGGCATTGATTGTACCCCCTGGACGGAGTGTGACTCTGCTGTACTGTGGGAGAGCAATGAGAGGCACTCTAGTGTATGTACAGCAGCCAATCACTGGATTTCTCTCAACCAGTGGTGCATGCTGGGATTGGGGACATATACTGGAGGGATTTGCCATGTGCTCAGACTAGCCATGGATAAGGACTGGATGCTGTCCAGCCAAGCCCCCAGGATTGGCCTGAGGGTGGACAGAGGCTGGTGTGTGGTGTTTCCTTGGGGCCTACAGTATGGAGGAGGCCTGTGTTGCTGCCAAAGGAAGGACCAGAAAAATAGATGGCTCTTAAAGTTACCTTGAACTCAAAGAACTTCAGGGGCATGGCTGGTGTCTCTCCTACTGAGGATTTCTGCTCATCCCTACTCATCTGCTACTTCAGATACCATCCGCTCTATCACAAGTGGATCTACACCGAGATGCTTAAAAGGTCTGGTGAGTCTGGAGTCTATGTCTGTTACATCCTGGAAGTCCAGTATCCCTATACCCTCTCTCCCTAGTGTAAAGATGTTTAATAAAAGTTATTCAGCATTGTATTACTGGAATGGACATCAACTAGAAGAGGATGGTTAATGCTAATGGGACGGCTGAAGATCATACCCCTAGACAGGCTAGTGATGATGACCCGGTTATACCAGCGCTACAGGAGACTATAAGCGGCTAAGTAAATGACCATTATACAGGCATGTTCCGCTGCAACCAATGTGCCCGAGAAATGACATGCAGTCATCACTGGGGTGCATACAGACAGGAAATGGCTGTAAAAAGGGTACAGGAATCAAGAGTGCTAGTATGTAACAAAGAATGTAAAAAGGGTTAAAAAATAGTAGTTTAGGATAAACAGTGCTTTAGCAACCTATATGTCATCCAATTAGGGTTTACATCTACTTTAACATGGATCTCTTCAGCAATTCACCTGTCAAATGTGGTTTTTTTTACACACACAGTCAGATGACCAGCTGAAACATCATTATGATTATGTGTGGGGAGCCTTAATTTAGACTGATCCCCATAAAAAAACAAGCACAATATGGATTTGTTGAGGTATGAAGGAAGACGGTGGGTAATGAGCACTATTTCCCAGCCGATATCAGTGTTCCGTCTGGTTGTGTGCACTGGGAGCAGTAAAACACAGAGCAGCTAAAGACCTTATCAGGTCTGAGTAATGAGAACTGCAGCTGCTCAGGACACTAGATAAATTACAATATATTTCTCCTAAACTTATATTGAAGAGTCTCTGGGAGGAATTTCCATTAGCATGTGTCACACAATTCCTGCAGGAACTGAGCCATAAAGGGTTGTGTAATTATATAGATCCAGAAAACTCAAAGGAAAGAAGAACATTCTCAGGTTTTACTTTCTATGCGGACTTTGGGACTCTTTGTAATGACAAGCTTAGGGTAGACGGCTACCTAAGGATTGTGGGGGTAAAGGGATTACAACTGCTATGGTGCAATCAATTTGTGTGCATCCACAGGCAAACTAGGCAAGAGCAACCAAAAAAGTGGGTGCATTTCTACTTTAAGTGGGCCTATGCCCAAATGTTAATATAAAGCTATGTTAAAGCACAGTGGTATCTGCATGTGGTCCATCTTGCACATTAAGGCAGAGTGTGTCCTCCTTTAAGTAATGGGAGGTCAACGTTCCCCCCTCTATTGCTGTCATCTTCTCG